TGGGTGGCTCTGCGGGCTTTTGGGAGGAGGACCCTGGGAGACTCTTGAAGGCTGCTGGAGGCTCTGGGCAATAATTAGGGAGTCTTGGCAACCCAAACAAAACGGTGACACCCGAGCCCTTCCTCCTCCTCCACCTTCTCCTTCTCCTCCTCCTCCTCCTCCCCCTGGCAAGTAGAGTTCTTGGAGCTCTAGATGGTCTTCCCCTCCCCCTCCTCCTCCTCCTCCTCCCTCGCCCCCCCCCGTTCGAGCTCCTCCTTTCTTGCCGCCCCCCTGCGGCCCGATGAAGGCCACCTTGCGCCTTGGGAGAAGCTGCACGCGGACAACGTCCAGTTTCGCAGCTTCGAGCAGAAGCGCGCCGTGCAGGAGCTGTGGGTCAAGACCTACAAGTCCACGCTCGCGCACTGCTGCTCCCAGCTCCCCCCGGACTTCCACGAGTTACCGGGGTGTTTCTTTTGCATGTCGTGCCCGAGCGCTGATGATGTCGACATAGGGTTTGCAGACTAGCGCTCTGGGGACGGGCACAGTGACAGGGGGAAACCGTTGCCCTCCTCCTCCTCCTCCTCCTCCTCCTCCTCCTCCTTCGTCCGCCGCCTCCTCCTCGCGCTCCACCTCCTCCTCCTCCTCCCCTCCCCCCTCCTCTGCCTCCTCGCCCCTCCCCCTCATCGTCCTCATTCGCTTTGTTGAACACTCAGCGTCCTGCGACGTGGACCCCATTGAATGTTCGGAGCCTTTGAGTGCGAGCCCTGTTTGAGTGTTTGGGACCAAGTATTTGGAGCCTTGTTAGAATGATTTGAGCCTCTTGAGTGTTTGGAGCCCTTGAGTGCTTGGAGTGGAGCCCTGGTTGAGTGTTTGGATCCTTTTGGGTGTTTGGAGCCCTCGAGTTTGGAGGTTTGGACGTGACATCCTCGAGCGTTCGGAGCCCTTGAGTGTTTTGGGCGAGGGAGCGAGAGAGAGGGAGGGAGAGGGAGGGATAGGAAGGAGAGGGAGGGAGAGGGAGGGAGGACATGTATATCTACTAGAGTGAGAAAGAGAACGATACTTAAACATATCACATATACAGAGAGCGAGAGAGAGAGAGAGAGACTTCAGAGAGAGAGAGAGAGAGAGAGATGACACACACAGAGGGGGCCCGCGGCCCGCCGGCTGGGCTCGAGCCACCTAGCTCGGAGCGGCCTACCACGACACCTACTGCGACGTCTTCTTCTGCTTCGCCGCTGCAGGCCACCCCTCCCTGCCTCCCTCTCCTGCTCTCCGCTGGTCCTCACGAGCAGCTCAGGGGGGCAAATGGTAACGACAAGCTCGGGGGAGCAAGTGGCTCGGGGGACAACTGGTGACGAAACACCTGGGTGATGGTGGACCCAATACTTCATGGGGTCCATGACCCCAGAGAGGTGGTCTGTGGGGTCCAGGACCCCACAGACCTCACTGTGGGGTCCAGGACCCCACAGACCACCCTTGTGGGGTCCAGGACCCCACAGACCATCCCCTGTGGGGTCCAGGACCCCACATACCCCCCCTGTGGGGTCCAGGACCCCAGACCTCCCTGTGGGGTCCAGGACCCCACAGACCTCCCTGTGGGGTCCAGGACCCCACAGACCCCATCTGTGGGGTCCAGGACCCCACAGACCCCCTGTGGGGTCCAGGACCCCACAGACCCCCCTGTGGGTCCAGTCCAGGACCCCCTGTGGGGTCCAGGACCCCACAGACCCCCTTGTGGGGTCCAGGTGGGTCCACCCCACAGACCCCACAGACCCACCCTGTGGGGTCCAGGACCCCACAGACCACCCTGTGGGGTCCAGGACCCCACAGACCCCCCTGTGGGGTCCAGGACCCACAGACCACCCCTGTGGGGTCCAGGACCCCACAGACCCCCTGTGGGGTCCAGGACCCCACAGACCCCCCTGTGGGGTCCAGGACCCCACAGACCACCACCTGTGGGGTCCAGGACCCCACAGACCACCCCCTGTGGGGTCCAGGGCCCCACATACCCACCCCTGTGGGGTCCAGGACCCCACAGACCACCACCTGTGGGGTCCATGACCCCACAGACCACCCCCTGTGGGGTCCAGGACCCCACAGACCTCCCCAAACACCATAGACCCCCCTGCGGAGATCACGACTCCGCATATTGCGATTACATTCGGTCCGTTGCCGTTTGTTCAAGTGTGCGCGGGGGCATTCAGGGCTCCCGACTTGCGTTGCGATGAGCATCGCTACATGCCACACCGTGTCTGATTATTTTCGCTGGGCGCGTGATGGAGCGGATCGTCTCTTTGACCTTGGCGCGCGTTTTCCTGTTAGTATTGGTTGTGGTGATTTAAAGATCAGCACTTGCTGCAGTGGGATCGATACTCCATTGTATGCCTCGCGTGCTGCAGCTAATCAGTGTAACGAGGCGGCTCGTGTGACATGCGCGTGGGCGTGCGAGAAAAATCCAAACTGTCAGGAGGAAGCTCTTCATTCCATTGATGGCCCGAACCACATCTACGGGGACGTTGCAGAGTTCCTCAGGCCAAGTGTCCGCAAAGAGGTCCTCGACACCCCGAGGTTCGACTTCGACAGGCGCAAAGAACTAATCATGGCTCAGCCCACCTTGAGGCATGCTTGGTGCGTTCGGGTTGGTCAGTCTGTAGCAATCGCTCGTGCTGATGTTCATGTATTCGGAGCCCCATGCGTTCACGATTCTTCGTACGGCCTGCAGGAGAAAGAACATGGCGAGCACGCCTGGATACTCGTGGCTATTGCTCGGCAGCGGCGGGATCTTCGAGAGCCTTTTTTCGTGGCCGAGAACTCGGATAGACAAGGAATGGTTACCTTGGAAACTCTCCTCGGCGATTTGTACGAGCTCACCCGGTGCGTCGTTGACCCTTGCCAGCAGGGGTGGGCGATCCGCAGGTCGAGGCAGTACGTGGTGGGTAAGCTCAGGGCCCTGAACCCCCAGCTTAGAGGCAACCTGAGTTTCGAGATTGCGCTGGGGGCATTCCAGAGGACGTGCACTTATAAGTTCACAGAGTACATGCAATCAACAGACACTGAGCTTAAGGAAGAACGATATTGGGCAATGAAGCGAAAGTCGGTGACTGATCGCCACTCGGATGCGGAAGCCGCAGAGTACATTAGTGACGCAGCTGATTCTTTCCGGCGTTGCCTCAATTTGAGAGAGCGGAAATTACTCCATAACCTGCTCGTCAACAAGCCTTCTCGCGTAGCCTTTGATCTAGGCCAGAGCACGACAAAAAGCATCTTCAGTAATTCCGAGTACCAGTTGCATTGCCTCATCCGCGGTGCTCACGTTTGTTGGGTAGTAAGCAAGGATCGGTGGCTCACCGCTGCAGAATGCTTTATCGCCATGGGGTGGCCCGTCTCTGAAGAGCAAGTTGAATGTTTAGGAGGACTCCGTACTCCCTTCAGCCGGGGCGAGAGTGGATCGCCGTTCAGGAGTCGGGCGTCTCTGATTCCTGCCATAGGGAACAGCATGCATGTCAATTCGATCGGGAGCATCATGATGATACTGATGTTCCATGTGTTCGAGGATGGCAGCAGCATTTTCGGCAGTGCTGAAGCGTTTCCTACAAACGTCGACTTGCGACGCGCTTCGAGTGTATTGAACGCTCCAGTGTTCACTCGGCCCGTGCTGCGCCGCCTGAGGAGCCAGGCGCAGATGCAGCAGATGCGAACTGTAGATCCAGATCCTGTTTAGCCTCATCTGACCATGCAGCAGAATGCAGATGATGCGCACAACAAGTTCGCGGCTGCATTTCAGGCAGCCGTCAGTAAGCGCCGTAGGCAATCGTAGTATGCCCACACTGCTTACAACTAACAGAGGATGAACGGAGGAGGAGTAGGACGAGTAAGAGCGAAGGAAAAGGAGGAGAGGGAGGATGAGGAATAATCCAATAATTCGTGCGTAGGCTCGCTGGAAGTAATTTTGCTCTGGGCATTCTTCGAGTGTCCCCATGTGGGCCGTGGCGGCCACGTGTGCAAGATGCGTGGGGTGGACTAAGGGCCAGGAAAAGTCAGACTCAGAGGAGGAGAAGGAGGGGGAGGAGGAGGAGGAGGAGGAGGAGGAGGAGGAGGAGGAGGAGGAGTGGGAGGAGAAGGACGAGAGGCCAAATGATAACGAAAAGCTTGGGGGGGGACAAATGGTAACGAACCGCTCGAAGGGGGCAGGTGGCAGCGAAAAGCTCGGGGGGCGAAAAGCTGGTGGGGGACAAATGGCTGCAAAAAGCTCGGGGGGACAAATGGTTGCGAAAAGCTCAGGGGGGAGACATGGTGACGAAAAACTCGGGGGGGGGGCAAATAATAATAATAACCTAAAGTTTGGAAACCAGTAGGGAGCCACCTGCATCTCTCCCCCAAGGGTCCCGAGATTCCCTTTCCTCCATTCGATGCCCGGAGGCCGGCCATGCCGACGCCGACCGTGGTGGACCCGTTCGAAGGCAACTTCAGGACCTTCAACGACAGGCACCCTGGGCTTGAGGGCTCCATCCTGCGCAAGCAGTTCGACGATGACTACGTGTTGTCAGATATATCGCAGGAGCGGATTCCCTTGTTCCTCGAGGACACCCATTGGAGAACCTGAGGAGGGAGGAGGATGAGCAGGGAATAGGAAAACGAGGAGGACGAGGAGGAAAGAAAGAAACGCTCCGCGGGGGCCAAGTTCGTCCCTGAACTAGACATTCAAATGCCTTGGGGGCTCTGGCCCCAACGCTACACCGAAAACCCATCGCCCGAGGCCCCTAAGCGAGGAAGGGAGGGAGGTGGAGGAGGAGGCAGAGGCTGAGGGTGTTTTGTTTCTGAATCGCGAGGACGGGTCGAAAGTGTTCGTCAGGCACGCTACGAATCGGAAGTGCAACAAGGCCCTGAGGAGGAAGTACAAGACTTTCTTTTTGAATAACGGCTACGTCGAGGGCGCGCGTTCGGGAAAGCTCCATTCCATCGCTCTGAATGGTAATATGGATCGCAGCTCATGGCAGTTACAGCAACTGGGAGGCGCCACAATGCTGGAGGGAATCTACGATGCCATCGCTTCCAATCCTGACAACAAATTCGTGAAACTCTTGCAGCAGCAAGGTGGGCTACCTGGAGTCGTCCTGCTGAGGAGGCAGATCCCGCTTGACGCTCAGAAGTACATCAGAGACGAAGGGAACAGGTGCAATGGCATGGGCGGCAGGAAGAGCCCGATCGAGATCCTCGAGGAAGTTCCAGAAATGGAGGCCTCCTATGATGATTTCAAAAAAGATAACCCCATGGAGGCAGAAGACAAAGATGAGGAGCCGCTAGCGGGCCCGCCGGAGCGAGACGAGCCGCCCAGCAAAAAACCGAAGCGAGATCAGAAAGGGTACGAGTCAGCGTATTACAACCACATCCAGAAGTTCTTCCCCAACAGGTTCACCTTCCAGCAGGACTTCTTCAAATTCAAAGCTTGCCGATCCCATTTGGAGACTGCTGGATTGTATGACTGGTTGGTTGGATATTTCAACGATAACGTGGATATTACTTCCCCTCACTGCACAGTCTACAACCTTGCTAATGTTTGGCACCTGCTTCTCAAGGAGTTCGTGATCGTCAGGGGCAAGTCCGCGACGTTCGACGAGCGGCACACTGAGATGTTGAAGGGGATGCTCAAGCTAACACTTCCAACCGATGACGTGTCGCCCGTGCTGTTGCCAAACGACAAGGCGCAATTGGCCAAACTTTCCCTCCTCAGGACACTCGTCGATATCAAATCACTGGGCAAACTGCACACCGAGGTGGTAACTTCGATGCCAAAGGCAAAAGCCAAGGGCAAGGCGAAGCCAAAGGCGAAGACGAAAGTCCAAGTCAAAATCTCATATGTGAAGGAGGGCTCCGAGGAAGCGACGTGCAACCTCGTTGACGACATGACTAACGTCATCCTTGGCAGCCCGGACGGCCTGAAATGTCTTGATACCATTGAAAAGGGCGAGGTCGACGACACCATCACGAAGGTTCACAACATGATAGACTTGTGCTGTAAATACGTTGTGAAAGAACCTGCCCAGGCGGTCGCCCATCAAGACGGCGCCAAGGTTTCGAAGTTCAAGAAATGGAAGGTGCTGCGCGTCTACGTCTTCAAGTACCTGGGCGGTCAGGCGCCTCCTCAGGAGGACTCTGATGACGAGGAGGATAAGCAGTTAGTAGTCATAGCCGCCGAGAATGGAGGCTCGGCGCCGCCGACTGGATCGGGAACTCAGTGGGATCTTCTGGCCAAGGAGACGTGCAAGCACATGCAAGGTGCACAGGACCGACTGCTGCAGACATGTTCCGACGATAAGAAGATGTACAAGATCGGAGACAAGATCAAATTGTGGTTTGAGGAGAATCCCCCTACGCACCGGGCGATGGAAATCAAGACCGCTCACGTTGCTTACATCAAGTTGGCAAGGCTTGTAAGGAAGTCCTGTGGGTCATCATTTGATGAGTTCCTGACATCAAGCAAGGCGCCCTCAGACGAGATCGACCAAGCAAAGTGGGTGATGGGCTGGGTCGTCGACTTGATCACGAACGCAATTGGGGTTGAGATCTGGAATGCCGCGATCGATCTGTATTACATCCTTTCTCATGTCCAGGGGGAAAGACAGGCGACAGTTCCGATAAAGGATATCATTGGTGACGCACACCCCAAAGTGATCAAGTTTGCTGAGATCTTTGGTACCAGGAACGTTCTGCAGGCTTTCGTGGGGGCCCGCTTTATCTACACCCGCTTTGTCATCTCTGACCTGTCTGATTTGTTCAAGGACTGCAAGGCCCCCAACCCGACCCTCGTGAGTCTGCACGAGTTCGTAACGAAACATGGGACGGACATTGCTTGGGCCGAGCCGCTCCACGCCACGGCCGACAACCTTAAGTCTAACTTCTGGGGCAAAGCCATCGATATCTTGCCGCATCTCACAAGGTTCTGCGTTCGGGCGCGGAGCGAAGCAGAATGGAGAGTGATCGAGGGTACCGAGAATACCAGACTTAAGGATATGAACGTCAAGGAGCTGCGGGAGAAGATGATGGAGTATGCGACGGACGACGAGGCGAAGAAGCAGGAGATCAGTGTTATGACGAAGGAGCAGATCACACCTCTCCTGCTTGAATGGACCGTTCAGAGCTGGAAGGCGGCGTTTGAAACCCGCTGGTCGGAATGGGACTCCTACGTTACTGCGCTGTTCAACTCTTGCGAGGCTGACGGCATGAACAAGCTCGAGGCTGCAAAGCATCTGGCCCTCGTGAAAAGCGACGACTCGCAGACGGGATCGGAGGGCTCTCAAGTCAGAGAGACTGCTCAAGAATTGGTCGGAGAGACTGGTCAGGGTGCTTTGGACCTCAGGCTTAGGAACATCGCAGGGACTACATATTTTCCGATCTTCCAAGGCTTGGCTGCTGGCGGGGGCCATCGCAAGTTTCAGACCCTTGCTATCTCGAACATTCTGTTCTCAAAGATTATGCTTGAATGGATGCCGGGTGCAGGAGGGGAGATCAGCGACGTGAATGCCGACAAGATCTATGTGCTTCATGGCAACGCCCACAAGAAGAGTGCGAAGCTCATGATTCTTGCTGGCGAGTGTTCGGACATCTGCATTCACTACGTTGGCGCCGTGCACTGCTCTACCGATTCTAAAGCTCCTTCGGTTGCTGGATCAAACGTTCGAAGCCTTGGGCCCCTTGCAGACTGCGCGGCGTTCCCCCCGGAGGTCGAGCAATCAGCAGGGCTTCGAACCGCAGGGCTTCGAACATTTGCACTGGCAAACAGGGTTCAGTACCAGCTGGGGTTTTTAAGATCAAGAGCCAGGAATTCTTCGTGTTCACGTCGTGCCCTGATGGTCTGGAGGCTGTCTCATCAGCTTTGTGCATCCCCGCGTGGTGTGTGAAGAAGGCGGCCAGTGACAGCACTCCAGCTACCATGGAGTACGGCAGCACGAGCTTCACGGTCACGATCAACCCGAGTGAAGTAGCCATGCTGGGCGAGCCGTTCCGCATCACTCTGGACATCAAGCACCTGAAGATGAAGCAGGGGCTCAAGCCAGAGACCATGGTCGAGCTGGTGCGCCCCAGGGGGGAGTGGGAGCCGGCCAAGAAGACGACGAAGGACGTCAAGGCCGATTGATGTGGGAGGGGGGTGAAGGATCGATCAGCGGCCCCTCCCATCCGAAAGCCAGTTTTTAAAGTTTTGCCTTGAGAGCTAACTGCGGCTGACGAGGAGGAGGAGGAGGAGGAGGGAAGAGAGGGGAACGCCAGAGGGCTCCTTGTGGAGGCCCAATGAGGAGGAGGAGGAGGAGGAGGAGGAGGAGGAGGAAGAGACCTCAGGGACAACCAAATGGTCCAGGGAAAACCAAGGGGTCCAGGGAAAACCAAAGGGTCCAGGGAAAACCTCGTCGGTAACCTTTCGGGGGACGCCTAGTGATCGAAAGAACGGGGCCACTCTGCAAGGTAAAGGTCGTGAGCTAGGACTACTCCTAGACGAGCGGCTCCGCAGGGTCGCAGGGTGAAGCATCCTGCGCGTTTCGAGGTAGGAGGCCCATCTCTTATTATGAGTAAGCGGCAATGCCGCGCGGCTTTAGTTCGAGAAAGGTTCGTTTCGGGATTCACAGTTTCGGGCATTGTGCAAATAACGCTGAGCTGAAACTCATATCAAGAGATGGCCGAGTCTAGAGCGTCTGACGACGCTGGTGCGAATTCAAGCCGCTGTGGGGCAGAGCGGCTTTAGCTTTAGAGGAAAAGAGGAGGGACGAGGAGGGAGAGGGATAATGGAATAACGAGTAGGAGAAATAACGACGAGAGGCAGGGAAGGTAGGGAGCAAGGAGTAGGGAGACGAAGGGAAGGTGATGTGCACGGGCCGTGCACTGCACGGCGTTTCGCTCGACTGTCTGTCAGCCGAGAGCTGGAGAGACCCTCGGCCCAGGGTAATGGGCAACGCTTTCGGCGCGGAGAAATGGGCGCTGGCTTGGCCGAGGACCTGAGGACGGCCTCCCTTGTCGTCGTCGTCGTCGTCGTGACTGCGACGGCTCGCGACGGCGACGGTGACGGCGACGACGGCGACGGCTCCTATTCTCTTCGGGTCTTGGGCCCTCGTTTCCGTTTTGTTTGGTCCTGGGTCTTCGTTTCGCAGTTTTCGCTTCACTGTTCGTCGTCTGGTCCTGGTTCTGACGTTGCTTTTTCCGTGCGCCTCGTTGCGCTTTCGGATGTGATCCGTCGAAGAAACATCCAAAAAACTTCAACGCGAGACGCGTGCGCGAGTTCGGGCTCCGACCGAGGCTTCTGTGTGATTCCTATTGTACAGGTAGGCCCAAGACCAGACCCCACAGGCCGACCCCACAGGCCAGGATCGACGCAGAACAGAGCCCTAAGCACATCATCAGCTTGCTTGCCTGCCTGCTTGGTAACGGCCATGCTCGGTCGCTTGCGGTCTTGAATTGCTTCCTCGCCGCCTGCGTACTTGCCCGATTGCTAGCTTGGTCGCTTGTGTACTTAATCGCTTGCTACCCTGCTAGCGTGCTTGCTCATGTGCTCCCTTGCCTCATTGCACGATGCATCACACACATACACACCAACAAGGCCAGGGAACTCAGCTATTCGAACACATCACGCCGCGTCCAGTTGGAGCCAACGACTGTGCAACTGCTTTGATTCGGCATTGCGTGTGATATGCCCTCTACAGTGATGGTGCATTGCGTTGTCCTGCACACCATCACACTATGTACTTTGCACTGCAAGGCCATTGCGGCGTTCTTGCATGGTCGGTGTCGCACTGCGCTGTCCATTGCATTGCACTCGATTACATTGCTTTTGCATTACGCTTCATTGCATTAACGGCGCTGCCTTGCAGCGCATACAATGCAATGCAAAACTCTGCTAAACATAATCTCCGATTGTGGTCGCGCAGAACTCAAAAAGAAGATCCATCACCTAGGCAAGTGAAGGAACAATCAAGAGATGTAGGCCAATACGTGCAAGGATAGAGCAAGCGATAATGTGGTGTTGCTAAAGAGCCTCCCAGAGTCCTCGCCGCTGTTCGAACTGCCATGCTTTAGAGGGCCCTGTTTCGAAAATGCGCCTAGATACACCAATCTACTCGCTGTATTATCTGACGACTATGCTTCGGAACCTTAAAACGGAACCGCAGCTTTTACGACGAGCTACCCTAGACCGGTATAGTGATTGGGTGCGTTTAGGACGAATGTGCGCAGCATTCAAGCGAGCACACCGATTCACACGCAAACCTCCACTAGTGTAGCTGTTGCTTGAAAGTTAGAAGTCGAATGTGCGCGGCTCTGAAACGATACCAGTTTTTTGAGAACCAACCACTCTCCATGGGTGTTACTGTCTGAGCCGTACAATTTCAAATCTTCAAGTGGCACATTGATTTCACGAACAGGCGCCCAGATCGGCCTGCTGACACGTCTGGTGATGCGTCGAGGAGAAAATGTACAAACGAGGGATGGGGGAGGAAGAGGACAAGGAACATGGATTGTGAGGCGGCGGTGGAACGAAGAGGAGGCATGAAGACGGGCGAGGAAAGGGGGGAGGTGAAGAGGCCTCCAGGCTGGCCTCGCGCGCGCCAGAGTAGGGGCGCGAGGTCAACGAAGGGGAACGGGCCACCGACAACGACGGCAACGAAGCGAGCGACACTGGCGAAGATGACGAACGACACGACGACGGCAGACGAAACGAAAGACGAGGATGAAAGAGAGGAGCAGGAGGAGAAGGAGGAGGAGAAAAGGTAGGAAGGGAAGGACGAAAAAGAGGACGTAAGGGGAACGACGGACGGAAGCCAGTGGGAGGAGAGGGCCAGGGAACGACCGAGACAGCGGCGGAGCAGGTCACGCTTCGATGTCGCTCGTCGCGCTTGCCCAGGCCTCGCTCTTACAACTGGACGGGGAGCGCCACCAAATTCGTGACGAATCCGCGGGCCCCCTTGCAGGGCCACCAGAGTGTAGGCCGAAGTGTGCTGCTCCCTGCACCAGTTGCAGCTTAAGTCTCCAATGTTACAATCCTGCTTTCTGCTTCCTATTGTAAATTGTTGAAGTCCGCGCGGGGTGGGGGAGCCCCAAACCATCGGTTACCACGCACGGATCGCGTTCATTGAATCCTGTGGGGCCGTGGGACACGTAAGAATACATGAGATTCACGCCCCCGACGCCATGATCCCTCGTACATTACGCAAATGCTCGCGTCCCCGAGGCCACAAAACGTAATACATTACACAATTCGTGCGCCCCCCAGGCAACAAGCCCTCGTACTTTATGCGATTTTCGCATTCCCGAAGCCATACACCTTCGCAAGTTACGCCAGATTCGCATTGCCGAGGCCAAGAGTGCTCCAAGGCGCCCGAGGATGGCTCCAAGACGGCCCAAGAGGGCCCGAAGAGGCCCCAAAAGCGCTCCAAGAGGCTTCCAGAGAGAGCCCCAACAAGCAAAGGTTTTTGAGGGATGTTGGCCTTCTCGCATTTTCGGCTTTCCGACGCTCCAAGACAGCTCAAGAAGCTCCCAAGACCGCCCCAAGACACCCCAAGACGCCAGGGGCTTCGGCCGATCCCGCCAGCCACCCGGAAGGGCGCATAACAAGTGGTTGCAAAGGGTTGTTCGGCTCCAGACGGCTCCAAGATGGCCTCCAAGCTGGCCTCCAAGTTCGCCCAAGATGGTCCATGATGGCCTCGAAGACGACCCAAGAGTCCAGGGTGCCTCCAAATTCGCACAAGAAACACCTAAGGCGGCCCAAGAGGCCTCGAAGAGGTCCTCCAGGGTCCTCACGGACAGCCCGAAGAGGGCAAAATCATTGATTTTCCAAAAAGGTGTTGAAGGATTGTGGCTTTTGTTCCGTTTCGGATTCCGACGGGCCAAGACTGCCCAAGAGGCAATCAAGATCTCCCCTAGAATGCCCAAGAAGCCTCCATGACGGCCCAAGAGGCCCCCAAGACGGCGCCAAGAAGGCCACAAGACGGCCCAAGGCCCCCAAGAAGCCCCAAATGGCTCCAAGACTGCCAAGGTGGCCTCCAAGACACCTCCCATACGGCCAACTCCAAGACGGCCAAGATGGCCCCAAGATGCACCCAATACGGCCCACGATGACCTCAAACTGGCCTAATACTGCCCAGAAGTCCTGCAAGAGGCCTCCAAGACGGCCCAAGAGCCCTCCAAGACGTCCTCCAGGAAGGCCCGACAGGGTTTAAAGCATTGTTTGTTCTTCGGTTTTTTGAAGGATCTTTGCTTTTGTTCCTTTTCAGCTCTCCGACGGTCCAAGACGGCCCAAGCGGCCCCCAACATCGACCCAAGAGCGTCCAAGAGGCCTCCAAGATAGCCCCATGACAGCCCAAGAGGCCACCAGGAAGGCCCCAAGAAGGCCCCAAGAAGGCCACAAGACGGCCCAAGAGGCCCCCAAGACGCCCAAGATAGCCTCCAAGACGGCCAAGATGGCCTCCAAGATGCTTCAAAAACGCCCAAGATGGCCGTCAAGACGGCTAAGATTGCCCGAAGATGCACCCAAGATGGCCTACGACGGACCTATAGGCCCGCAAGAGGCCTCCAAGACGGCCCAAGAGCCCTCCAAGACGTCCTCCAGGAAGGCCCGCAAGGGCCCAAATCATTTACTTTCCGATGGATTGAAAAGAATTTTAGCATTTTCTTCTTCTCAGCTCTCCGACGGCCCAAGACGGCCCAGGAGGCCCCAAACACGTCCCAAGAGCGCCCAAGAGGCCTCCAAGGTGGCCCCCTGAGAGCCCAAGAGGCCCCCAAGAGGGCCCCAACAAGACGCCAAGACATCTTGGGCCCCCAAGACGCCCAAGATGGCCTCCAAGACGGCTAAGATGGCCTCCAAGACGCCTCAAAGACGGCCAAGAAGGCTTCCAAGACGGCGAAGATAGCCCCAGGATGCAACCAAAACGGCCCCAAATGGCCTGAAGATAGCCTTAGACTGCCCGAAAGGCCCGCCATAGGCCTCCAAGACGGCCCAAGAGCCCTCCAAGACGTCCTCAGGAAACCCGAAAGCTCGGAAACCACCTGGTCCGATAGCTCGCCCGACTCCGTGTTCCCTGAAAGCTTTCGAACCCCACTCGGGGAACGCGCGCGTGACCCGATAGCTTGGCCAAGCTCAAACCCAACTTTCGGCCACGCAGGCGCTTCCAAGAAGGCAGGGGGCGGCGGTGATTCGCCGTAGGCGTCTTCGATAACGACAACGTCTCAATATGCGCTGATGTTTCCTGTCCGCCCTCGCATGATGCTCCCAGATGCGAGAATGCAGCGCCGAGACGCACCGACGCGACTCTGATTCTTCCCGTTCTGATAGAGGAATGGGCCGGCGGCAGGGGGCGAAGCCCTTCCGGATATGTTCCAGCCCCAGGAGAGGCCTTGGGTTGGGTCGGGCGCGTCCTCCTACAGGCGGATCCTGGGCGAAAAAAATACAAATTGCTAAACATGATCAGAAATGGTAAAAGAAAAATAGGAAAAAAACGTCCCCAGACTATGTTTGACTATTTTTGAAGTTTCTTCCTGTAGAGGGACGAGCCCGACTGAGAAGCCTCGGGGACCGCCGGCTCCAAACCGAACAG